CGAGCTGACCTGAATGTCGTACGGTTGAGCGTAAAGGGCCAAGCCTCCTGGTTTGAGCACTCTCACGCTCTCGGCCATCGCCTTGTCTGGGTCTGGAACCAGACCGGGACCCATGATCATCGTATTGACGTCAAAGTGATTGTCAGGGTAGGGCACATTCTTGATCGTTTATGGATGCGAGCGCGTCAGCATATGAATCTCTCGTTGCGTGCTGCAAAGAGACGGGGCAGAGGCAGAACGCACCATGACGTCGACGATGCCAAAATGGACCATTTGCTCGACTTGATCAAAGTGCAACTTGACCTTTGCTTTAGCGCTGTCCACCATACCTTGCGCAAAGTCCGTAGCTACGATTTGCAATTTGCCGTTCCGAGCGAGAGTGCGGCCCTTGCCCTGGACATAATGCTCCAGCAAAGCGGTCAGCTCGGCACCCGTGCCGCACATGGAGTCGTGCAGCTTGAAAGGTGCGACGCGAGCCTCTTTGGTGTCGAGGTTGTGGCTTAGCAGCCGATCGATGAGGGGTAGAAAGTGGTCGATGAATGCGCGACGAATCATACCCTGAGTAGGGGCTTCGGAGGAAGAGTCGGGGTGCGATCTCGTGTCATAGTTGACGCTGTGAGAGGACCAGTCGGATGCGCTTGGAGTGTTTGTTGCGGTCATACTGGCTGACTTGCAGCGTGCGGGTGAGCGGGCAGGCTGACGGAGAGAGAGAGAGATGCAAGAGGTTGAGGAGTGCAAGTGATGGATGAGGAAGGGTTGGAGGAGAGAGCAGGTCGAGTTGAAGGCTGCTTCTTCTTATACTTTCCCGTGGCATTCAACCGTGCCCATTCGAAGTGTGAGTCATAGTGTCGCAAAGTGCAGACACCACGTCGGGCCCATCAGAGGCACGTTTGCAATCAGAATGGCGCTGGGGCTAGAGTCACAATCACGTGAATGTGAATGACGTACTGTAAGCTGATTGATGGCTGAGTCAAGTAGCCATGATGAAACTTGCCTCGGTCGAGTCACGAGCTTCATTCAATGCGAGTCGTGAATCGCTGCCCCATTCAGACTCTTCAGCAGGTCTCGGGTTGATGAGATG